TGGGTCTCCTTAGTAGCGTACATCCAGGACCTAACAGCCGGAAGTTAAACATAGGAACTTCAGTTTCCAATGAGAATGCTTGAACTGTAGACCACTGAGTCAGAATCCAGTGATGCAGATATCTAACCTCAATCAATTCTTGATATTGTGAGACCATGATGTATGGTGGTGGTTTGAGATAATCAAGAGGAAACATCAGACCTAGGTTTCATGTTATTTGACACTCGCGAGAAAGGTGTACGGTCATCTTCCATTACCTACAGTATATAACTGTCTCACACTCGACATGGCTGAACCCCCACATTTAGAAGAAACAGTGGTCCCGTGTTTCCAGGTTTTCAGTGATGGTTCGAACTGAAAAGAATTATACGTTGTTATTTCTTCAAATATAATTCATCACTAGAATCCACTTCCAGTGAATATCAACTGCTGACAAGCCTTTATCAAAATACCACTTGTTGAAGGCGGCTGTTCCTAGTTCTACTAATCCTAGAATTTCAACTAAAAAGAATTTCTTTGGAAGTTTTAGTGATATAAATTTATTTCTCAATTTATATTAACCGACACATAACTTAGTGCAACTATTTATCTTGTCATAGAGACATATAAATGATTAATCCAACAAGCTGTACTATCTGCACAGGTTTTCAAACGTTGATTTCTCACTACATTTATTAGTAAATTGTGATATACACAATAATTCAGGTTGTTTGCATTTGATAGTTTAAATGTATATTAGAGAGATCTATTGATATTATCACTGCTAGTAATCAAGGTTAAAGTTGAACATTTGATTTGTAGCATAATATCATTATTTGCTTATTTTCTTTTATCGTTCTTTAGTGATTATTCAATTTTATATTTATTCATGGGTATTAAATTTTCTTAGATGAAGATAGAATTCAATTACTATTGCTTGTTTATATCTTCTCGTTGATGTTTAGAACTGAAACTGGTCAGTCTCTTATTGGCATATGTGCATACTGTGCGTATTGCCTCGACATTGCCTTAATTCAAAAGCGTTATAAGCAAAGATGGATAGTGGATAGCAGTGGAATCCACGACACGCATTTCGTCCTGTTTGGGACTTGTCAGCTGGATGTACCTGCATCTCAGAGTTGATATTCACTCTGGGACTCGAACCCAGTGAGTAAATTCAAACTTTACCCCATTGCACAAGCAAATGGCTATCAAGACTCAGTAGCTGAGTGGATAAAGTGATTCCGTTTGAAGTGAAAGGTAATGGGTTCGAGTCTCAGAGTGAACATCAACTCTGAGGTACAGGTACATCCATCTGACGAGTCCCGAATAAGATGAAACGCACCCTGGATTCCACCGCTATCCACTATCCATCTTTGCTTAGATGAAGATACTTTAGTCCTCAAATGGAAATGGCAGGATATTGTTTATATCAGTCATATTTTCCCTCAACAAGTTTTATGAAACTTCAGACAACGTTTTAATCGTTGTTAACACTGATAGATATAATTCAAACTGCTAGTTGAACATAAACTTACCGCTTCTTTCCTTTAAAAAAACCTCAGATCTCATTTGGCTTTATTCTTCTTGCTATAATTTTGAATCATAGAGAAATGGAGTTGCCATAGATTGACTGATGATATAAAAATTAGCTTCTTTTGAATTTGACTAAACGCTATAACGATTTTTGTTGCTTTTTGTATAACAGTAACGACAGTTTTATATTCAGTGATGGATAGTGGCTAACAGTGGAATCAAGGACGCGCGTTTCGTTCTATTTGGTACTCGTCAGCTGGATCGATTGCAGTCCTAAATAACAATGGGAAGATACAGGTGAATTTCACGACAGTTGCTTAGCTATCATATACTGTGATTTTCGTTAAGATGTATACATTATGAAGGGATGCACATAGTAGAGATGGTTATTTTACTTTTGACTCCAGTGATTTTTTAGTGTTTTAATCATTTTAACTAATTTAGTGAAGCTACTAATTACATCAGTTGCATCTTTACATTTCAAATTACTGAATCCATTTAATAAAATAACCACAATAATGCTTGTTCTTTACTGTAATATGTATAAGTACATATAATTGGTGGTAACATGATGAATGAAGTCATGGTGCAGCGAACTAGAACTCAGGTGGGAAAAGCCAATTTATTGTTTATTGTAAAATTATATTGTGCCTTAGTAAATTTGAAAATCATAATACATAAAATACATCATCTGTACATCATTTTTGGACTGTTGTTTACATACTCCATTATTCCTCTGATTCCTTTGATTGTTTCAATTGCTCTCTGGTTTCCTTCCTGTTCTCTACATTTTAATCTTCTGATTCCAGGCATCTCACCTCAAATTGGTGTTACACGCTACTTATATCTATCAGCATAAGTAGCATACATCAAAATGGGATAACAGTTCGTTTTCGTCTTTATGATTATACTTTTCATTCAGATTTTATAATAAGAGGAATGTTAAAGACTGAGATCTGAACATATTTATCAATCAAGCAACCAGTATCAAATACAGAATATATAAGTTTTATTTAAAATAAAGATCAAAAGTTATAAACACTCAGTTCACAAGAAGTATCACTGTTGTAATAAAGTACTTTTGACTGTTTTGAAAAAAAGTACACGAACATAGACTTGAAGAGTCTTCTCCTAAAGAGTTTGAAGATTTCATAGTTTAAAGATTCCTCTTCAGTAGGATGAAGGAGGTCATTTAGATTCAGACTTATTAAAATTAAGCATCTGAATTGTTCATAGTGACAGCAATTAACAACAGTCGAACAAGAACAGAAAAAGTCAAGGCACAAACTGAATACACAGAAGCAAACAAGCAACGGAAGAGGAGCATTAGAGTCGACAAGCAGAAATAAATGAGAGAACCAGCAACGACGGCGAAAAACACGGCAAGAGAAGGGAATATGTAACAACTATATGATACAACTAAGAAACTGGCAGGGAAATGTAGCAAACCGCAGAGACCAGTCAAGGACAAAGAAGGAAAGACAATCACTGAGATTCAAGAACAGAGGAAAAGATGGACAGAATACTTCGAGGAACTGCTGAATAGACCAGCCCCATCGAATCCACCGAACATCGAAGCAGCCCACACTGACCTTCCAATAGATGTCACTCCACCAACGATCGAAGAAGTCAAGATGGCCATCAGACAAATCAAAAGTGGGAAGGCGGCAGGACCTGACAATATACCAGCAGAAGCACTGAAGCCAGACATTGAAATAACTGCAAACATGCTTCACCTTCTATTCAAGAAGATTTGGGAAGAGGAACAAGTGCCAACGGACTGGAAAGAAGGATATCTCATCAAGATACCAAAGAAAGGAGATCTGAGCCAATGTGAGAACTACAGAGGTATCAGTTTGTTATCAGTACCAGGAAAAGTTTTCAACAGAGTGCTGCCGAATCGGATGAAAGACGCAGTAGACGCCGAACTTCGGGATCATCAGGCTGGATTCCGTAAGGATCGGTCGTGCACAGACCAGATTGCGACACTACGGAACATCATGGAACAATCAGTCGAGTGGAACTCGTCACTATACATCAACTTCATTGACTATGAGAAGGCGTTTGACAGTGTGGATAGGAGAACATTATGGAAAATTCTTCGACACTATGGAGTTCCCGAGAAGATCGTCAACATTATGCGGAAATCATACGACGGAAAAAAGTGCAAATTCATGCATGGAGGACAGCTGACGGATGCATTTCCACTAAGGACCAGGGCCAGAAAAGAATGTCTACTCTACCCCCTTTCTCATTCTTCTGGTGATTGAATAGATTATGAAAACCTCGACATCTGACGGGAAGCATGGAATACAATGGACATCTCATAATCAATTAATCAATTAATCAATTAGCCCTGCTATCTTATACACATGAACAAATACAGACGAAGACAGAAAATGTAGCAGCAGTCTGTGCATCAGTAGGCCTCAACATACACAAAGGAAAAAGCAAGATTTTCAAATACAACACGGAGAACACTAACCCAATCACACTTGATGGAGAAACTCTGGTAGATGTAGAAACATTCACGTACCTGGGAAGTATCATCAACGAACAAGGAGGATCAGATGCAGATGCAAAGGCGAGGATTGGCAAAGCAAGGGCAGCATTTCTACAATTGAAGAACATATGGAACTCAAAACAACTCTCAGCAAATTTCAAGGTCAGAATCTTCTATACGAACGTCAAGACAGTCCTATTGTACGGAGCTGAAACGTGAAGAACTACTACATCCATCATCAAGAAAGTACAAGTATTTATACACAGTTGTCTACGCAAAATACTCAACATTCACTTGTCGGATACTATCAGCAACAGCGTTTTATCGGAGAGGATAAATCAACTTTCAGCTGAAGAGGAAATTAGGAAAAGACGTTGGAAAAGGATAGGGCATACATTAAGGAAATCACCAAATTGCATCACGAGGCAATCCCTAACTTGGAATTCGGAAGGGACGCGGAAAAGAGGAAAGACAAAGAATACATTATGCCGGAAAATAGAAGCAGATACAAAATGGATGAATGTTAACTAGAAAGAAGTGGAAAGGACTGCCCAGGACAGGGTTGGACGGAGAATACTTGTTTGCGGCCTGTACTCGTCCACGAGGGGTAACAGGCGTAAGTAAGTATATTTTAGGATCCAATCACACATTAAACTTAACTAGTATGTGAAACAACTTTTATTACTGTATCAATCTTAGTATAACATAAATCTATAAAATATGAATATCAATGATAAGCTGACAAGTCTATCTTAATTCAACGACTAAGGTTGTTCTAGTGAAATAAACTTATATATATGGCAAAATTACTATCATGTTGTTTACAAATATATTTTGACAATCATCTCTATATTGAATGTAAGTTAATTGTCGAATGCTCATTTATAGCTATGGAATGAATTCTATGCATGTGACATATTAGATTGTTTATTTCCATACACATATATTTTGTATATATATACATATGTGACGTTACTAGTGGATAATATATAAATTTAAAAATTAAATTACTCTTCATTATTGTTAGTGCATAGTAACTGTTACATTTTTGTAACCATCGTCATGAATCAATTTTATTATGCAATATTAATGGTAATGATTGTCACTTTTAGTTATTTCAATGTTGTATCAGGTAAGTCAATATTTGTACAACCAAATGCTTTGTGATTATTTATGATTGAAATACTTTTTGATTTAATTTGGTGACCACTGAGGATAAGAGAGCAGTGAATATTTATTAGATATAGACTTCACATAAGTGATCACTACTGACCCTTCAAGGGATAGAACTCAGTAACTCAATAAGGTTCATGGAGAGCACTTGACTAATAAGCCACCAAGTTGACATTTAATGGTACACATTTCTGACCTCAGTCAATTTCAACATAGTGTATTGGTCATTAAATCCAATAGGTACCCACTATTTCATTAATAACGTGTATGAACTATGTTCGTTGACTTCCTAGTACAACCTCATAAATCATTCTCTATGCAACACATCAGCGATTACTTGACTTCAGTGTTAATGAGGGGAATTTAGTGGGAATTCGGTCTGATGTAGTTATCGTAACAGATCTATATTTGCCATTGAACGGATTCAGAGAGTGCCTTTTCATCTGACATCATATATCAAGATTTTACATTAACAAATAGTTTTGTTGAGAAGGTATCTTCTGTTATCTGACTGAAATACAATCCTCTTAGTTAGCATGCACGTAATTTATTACTTCTACCAATGCTTTTATTACTAATGGCGATGGTACTTTTTTGAATTTTATTAGGTACGTGCAATAGAGCACTGAAATCGTAGTACGGCTTAAATAAAAACGTTTATATGTTAATTTCTAGACTAGATTTTAAATGAAAATAAAACTATAAACATGCATTCTATGAATTTTTGCAATGAGTATTTCACATATATTCTTGAAGATACATAACTAAAGGTAAGAAACGATAGGTCAAGTAATTTTTCAAATTTTCAGCCGCATCCTGGATTTGGATCCCACGTGCGGGATCATATTTGCATACTGTTGAGGAGTCCCATACCAGAACGAAACGACTGTCCAGTATTTCCAGGTTTTTAATGGCAGGCTAACATTGATAGATCCGAGATCCCAATCAAAATTTTCTGATCATTCATCCATGTGGTTTGAAGTTTATTGTGGCTGATTTAAGCTTGGGTAATCAATAATGACGAAATAATATCAACTAGTCGATAGGTGTTTTTCTTCCTTTAAATCAATGTTCTAACCTTCCCGGTAAACTTAATACACACACAAATGCACACAAAATAATTAAATGAATAGGTTTACCACCTTATTGTGTAAAAAACCAACTACTGCAATACAGTTGAGAAATGATAATTTCTTAAGTGAAATGTTAATAAACTTCTAAAATTTACTGTATTGATTAGGTCATTGTATGAAGTGAGTATGTTTTTGAAAAATATAGATTGAACATTGCTATATCATAGATGTTAGGATAGTCTAGAATGTTTGGTTCACGAATTCCAACATTCAACTTTATTTATCGGTGAGATGATTAGTAGAAGTATAAGAGAAAGTAATGTTATTCTGAAATTATAAATCTAACTAGCAATGTAAGTTTATATAGTTGAGTTGATGAGTCAATTAAAGCTAGACCACCATAGAAAATCTGGAAGCACTGGAAGGCCGTTTCGTCCTATTGTGAGACTCCTCAGCAGTGCGCGTCCACGATCCCGCCTCACGAGATTCGAACCCAGGACATATCAGTGTCGCGCCAGAGCGCTTAACCACCAGACTACTGGACCAGCCGGCATCCAACGGTGTTAATGTCTAACCTCAACCAATGTAAGTGTTAACAACTAAGTGTTCAGATAATATCGCAGATGATAACGGCATGATTTCACGCATGGCAAATTTTAAATGTATAATCTCTGGTAAAATATGAAGGCTTACTTAGATGCCAGTAATCATATTGTTGGTAATAATACACCGTTTACATTGATTTAAGAAAATGCAAAATTTATTAGGCTGTTTCAGTAGATCATGAAAATTGCACATCATCAGTTTGTGGTTACATTTATGTAATGATTTAAAGATTATTTTCAGTATAATTACCCTTGTTCTTCTATCCAAGGGAATCATTCTTCATCCACAAGTGATAAACTTTCTTTTACAGACTTCTTATAGTGTAGATCAGAATAGATGATTATGCCTCTTTAATCTTAGTTCCTTCATATTTTCTTAAGTATATTTTTCTATAGATTTATATGGTTAGGAAAATCGTTAGAAATAAGTGAGGATTAATCATGGAGAAGGTTTTAGGTGTAGCCCAAATTTGTGTATAATTCGTTATTTACTGTTGAAATGTCTTGGATAAAAACTTAGTGTTTCTCAATGAATTTAAAGTTTAAGTCATTTGCCTACATAGTAAAACTTTAATAAACTATAAGTATATAACTGAGGTACTTTAGACCAGAATATTGAATGTTATGTTTATGGTGGTCTAGCTTCAATTGACTCATGATTTCAACTATGAAAATACTGAATTCTGCACAAAACTCCTTCTGATTATAGTCATATGCTCACTAGTGATTGACTTCAAGATATATTTCCTGGGGTTCTAGTGGGAAGCAGTGACCAGTGGAGTTCAACTAGGTCTGTTGGGAGATATCAACTCACTGAAAACAATTGGTGAACGGTTGCACAACTTCGTGGATTGCTTGAAGTTAGACATCAACATCGTTGGATGCCGGCTCAGTGGTCTAGTGGTTAAGTGCTCTGGCGCGAGACTGTTAGATCCTGGGTCCGAATCTCGTGAGGTGGGATTATGGATGTGCACTGCTGAAGAGTCCTACAATAGGACGAAACGGCCGTCCAGTGCTTCCAGGTATTCCATGGTGATCTAGCTTCAATTGACTCATGATTTTAACTATGAAAATGCTAAAACATCAACAGACAACCTTAACTCTTCTATAAAAGGTAAAATTAGAAATAGAGTTATACATTCATATAAGAAAATGAAACTATATAACAAAAACACTTGAAATATGTTAAATATTTTTTTTGAACCGAATGGACTAACTTTCTTATCTAATTTATTCATTTTCTTTTATTTCTTTTCAGGTGATTGTCGCACAGTAGGACAAGAATGTTCCAAGACTGTATTTTCTTCATGTTGTGATAGCTTATACTGTGGTCTGAATACATTATTTAGTGGTCAATGTCAGCTATGTCTTGCAGGTGGATATTTCTGTTGGACTGATAAAGAATGTTGTTCTGGAAAATGCAGTTGGCTTAAATGTACAGATCCAATAAAAGATGTTGTTGAAAGGTTGACTGGTTAGAAATAAAAAGTATGGGAGATTATTACAAGTAGTAAAACAGTCTGTTACAATTTAAATGTTCAATCATTCTAATGAGATTTTCTGTTTATCTACTCAATTCAAATTATCAGTAGTACATTATATTCACTTTACATTTCTTTTTGCGACAGAATAAAATACACACATTTGATTATGTATGAAAATAATATTTAATTCAGTTTGCTTCTATAGGTGATCATCTATTATTGATTTATTTTTGTGTTGAAAAATTTTGTATGTTCAAAAGATAAATACAGAGTTGTTTCCTCCTTATATTTCCTGTTTGTTTGATTAATTCATAACATAAACGGTCTCATACTGTCTATGCAACTTTTATTTTACTGTGATAGATTTAATAATGATGAGTAATTCTTAACATTGTTGGATTCTAGCTCAGTGATATAGAGGTTGAGCGTTCGGGCACGAGACAGATAGGTCCTTGGTTTGAATCTCGCAGGGCGGGATCGTGGATGAGTACTGCTGAGAAATCCCATGCACTAAGAAGAAACGGCCGTTCAGTTATTCCAAATTTTCCATGGTGGTTTAGCGTCAATTGACTCATGATCTCAACTATATAAAATTACTAAAATCTCCACAAAACCACTTTCTGATAAATATATGAATTAGCAAGTATTTATACAAATGGTTAGTTTTTTTACTAAAATTCAAAAAGATTGTTATGAAGGTACTTTCTCTGTGTTTAACCAGTTTGTAAATACTTTTTATGGAATGAATAGAAGACGTTAAATGAAGTTGGATGATGTATTCAAGATACGAAGCTTCTGATAAATCATAATAATTTTTAAAAGGCTACATTACTCAAACGCTACTTATTGTTTTGTTATCAAGGATTGATATTAATTAAAGAAGGCTAACTAAATGAGAGAATAATCAAGTTATATTCGAATTATCAAAAGGGGGTTTTGTGGAGATTTTAGTAATTTTACATAGTTGAGATCGTGAACCAGTGGAGTTCAACCAGGTCTTTTGGGAGATATGAACTCACTGAAGACATTGGTGAATGGTTGCTCAAACATCGTGGATCTGTTGAAGTTAGACATTAACATCGTTGGATGCCGGCCGGCTCATTAGTCTATCGGTTAAGTGCTCGCGCGCTGGACTCATGGGTCCTGGGTTCGAATCTCGTGAGGCGGGGTCATGGGTGCGCACTGCTGAGAAGTCCCATACTAGGAAGAAACGGCCGTCCGATGGTTCCAGGCTTTCCATGGTGTTCTAGCTTCAATTCACTCATGATTTCAACTTTATATTACATTCGAATTCACAAATGAACATTTTAACATTTTAATATACATAGTCTCATACCAAAGACTTACAGGACAGTTGAATGACAGAGTTGGAATTCGATGGTAATTCTTGAAATTTATTTCAGACACTTCAAATGTTTTTATATGCACACATAATTGTTTAAATCATTTATATAAGACAGTAGTTAATTTCATTGTAAATGATTCTGTTATCCATTCTACTATGTTACATTTCCACAAGTATTTTCTTATCAATGAACTGAATTTTATTGAGATCATTAACCGATTAATGTTAGACGAAACGGCCGTTCAACATTTCCAGGTTGTCAATAGCGGTCTAACATTAATAGGCTCATAATCTCAATAAAACTCAACAACCTCTACAAACTTATATTGATGATTCAAACTTAGTTGCACAGAAATATAATTTTTAATCATTGTTCTTACAAATGCAAATTATTTCTCTTGACCTTTAGTTTGAAAGCAGTTGATGGGTTGTGTTAATGATATCTTTCCAATGATATTCTGAAAACTGCGATTCGTGGACTTGAATTTATTTCATCTATGTTATTACTAAGTCATTCAAACTACATAATAAATACTATAAAATCCAACGAAATACTTTTCAAGGTAATTTGTATGTCTGAAAGATATCATGGAGTGAAATTATTGAACGTCAAGAAGTAGTAGTCACTTATTTTTGTTTTCGTCCTAAATTCCTAAGCAGTGTACTCTCTCTCTATATGTAGGCTTCCATTTTCACAAAGAGAATGATGCGATCGATTCATTGAATTGGAATTTTTCGGCATAAAGTCTTTTGTAAAGTGAAGTTCATAATATGATGCAACGTTTATGCAGTATCATGATTAAGTGACTGTCTTGTACCCTATTTCTTCAAATTATTATATCATGGATTCATGTTATGACTCTTGGAAATCCATATTCATGCTATTCACTTGTGAGAATAGAATTGTTACGATTATCAAGTGGTTTGTTTAAGAATATTTTGGTTTATTTCGAAATTATTTTTTATTGCAAACAAATGTCAATTTTCGTAGTTTAGATAATCAACTAGTCACAGTGAGCCTACTCTTAAAAAGCAAGAAGCATTTGACAGCTGTTTCGTATTAGTATCGGACTTTTCAGTTATATGTATTCACGAACTCGCATCCAGGAAAGGGTTCAGAATCTTTGGTCTTGAGTATCAACTCTTAACCACTAGACCACTGATTTAAACTGTAAAATTCTACACAAAACTCTATGTTAATGATAATCATGTGCTCACTAGTGACCAACATCTAAATGCAATCGCAGGATTTCTAGTGTCAGGCAGTAAACTTCAGGAATTCGATTGTATCGGGCATGAGGCAGTTACATACATGTTAGATGATCTCACAATATTATGAATAAATTGAAGTTAGATATCTACACCACTGGATCCCGACTCAGTGGTTTGATGTTCAAGTGTTCACTCATGATACCAAAGTTCCCGTGCTTGATTTCCTTATGCATGGTCATGGATGCCTACTACTGAGGAGTCCCATAGTAGGATGGAACAGCGATTTCGGTTATATATTGAAATGTCAATATATAGATCATACAGTATGATTATATTTATTTCATCATTCACTTATTATCAAACATAATTCTAACGTACATACAGTTATTACTATCAAATAGTACATTTGTAATATAAACATGATCATCACTAATGATCATTTTAGATATTAATTGACTTTTACTTGTCTATTAGTTTGTATTTTGAAAAAAATGACCATTTACGAATGATACTGTTTATAATATAAATAATTCTAATAAATGTATAATGTACAAGTTATTAGACGTATAAGCTGACACATTTGTACAAAAAGTACTGAATAGATTGTGTTAAACAACATGAATTTTGTATATTTCATAATATAACCAGCTGAATGTATGTTGACCATATAGTTTATTCAGTTTGAATAAATATGTCGAAAATGAATATTACCCTGAGACGTTTATGTTTCAGTTTATTACTTACTTACTTATGCATGTTACCTCTCGGTGAGGGGCGTAGGCCACCCACTAGTTGTTTCCAGTTTCATCTTTCTGATATCTGTTTCCGATTCTCAACGTAGAGAGTGGTTTAGTCTTCTTCTTTTCCTTTTCCCTTAACGATTCCATGTTAGCATTTGCCTCTTCATGCAGTTTGATGATTTCCGCAATGTAATTCTTATCCATTTCTATCATCTCTTCCTAATTTCCTCTCCAGCTGAACGTTGGTTTGTTCTCTTCCACAGTAGACTGTTTCTGATGGTATCCGGCCTGTTGCTCTTCTACGGACACTGCCAGTCCTAAGCCGAGGTGAAGGAGGAGGATTGGGCATGGAATCAGCAACTTCATATCCGAAAGAAAGCCTCCTAAAAATGCGCTAACTAGTTGCAGTTTATAGTATAATAATAACAATGATAATAATATGGCTTTGTCATAAGAAATGAGACGAAATAAAGCTAGTATATTGATGAAAAAAATACTTGTAATTCACAATTACAATAAACACACATAAAGCCACTCTACCTATACCCACAACTGATTACGAAAGCTACAAAAAATCATTGCACAATTATTATTGGTTCAAAAAAGAAAGAATGAATGATTCTGCCCCAAAAAATGCAAAAACAGCTATTGAACCTCGATAGTTATGCCTTGTTTTAGTGTTGCATTCTTCTCTAGAAGGTCTTACTAGACTTCACCATGTTACTATGTCTGGAAGAGCTTTATAGACAATTAATATATAAAAATAAATAGCTGATCAAATAAATTACATCATCTCTGCTAAGATTTGAGATTCATTGTAACAATCAGATATTAACAGTAGTATATGGGATTTTAACAGGTTTACATACCTGTTTCACTTTTAACTGAAGTTAATCTTTTCGTTTAGAATAATAGTATACACCAATAATTATTTTAATTTTTATTATAACCCAAGATAATCTGTATGTGACAATAGTTGTTCATGATGTTACATCTCAAAGATCATTTAATCCTCCTTCCCCCCCCCTCCGATTTAATGTCTTATTTAGAGCTAAGTGATTTATCCAAATCAATAATTGTGAGTGTGTAGTTCAGATTCATGAAGGTATTCCTTTTTTAGTCCTCTGATATTTCAAAAGTGAAAGCAACAACCAAAACACTTTATTTGTTAAAATAAGTGTATTTTTATTTAATTTTTCAGTTTTTGCAAATTATGATTAATTCACTATAGTGACAGTAATACGCTAAATTACTTTACATATTATCTATCTTCATTTAAACAAGTAAACTGTTTCAAAACATTAAAATTCACTATTTTCCATGTTAATTTGCTTAAAATTGATTTTGTAAAATACTGTTAATAAATGGGTTTTTAAATTTTTTACATTTAAAACGATGACATCTTCCACTACAACAATCTTTATTTCTCCAACATGAACGACCAACTGGTAAACACGGAACACATATACCCTTGTTACCATTTAATTCACATGTAGCATGACCACAACAATGATGAAATATAGTTCTACGACATGATTCACCAAGACGTTTACATCTGAATAAACCTGAAATAAGAAAACCAGATATAAACTTGTAAAATTGATTTAGATTTTAAATTTAAATAACAGTTTGATTATAGTTACAGGAATTATTTTATAAGAACATTTCTGTAATTACGAATTGTAATTAAACGTTAGTGTTAGAAATTATATTTAATGTTTTCTTCACGAACCGACATCACCTATAATGCTAAAATGGTATTTAGCCAAATGACTAGATGAATCTCGCGCCAAAGTCTAAGACTTGCTATCTGAAATCTGATTGGTTCGTCCATAAATCATAGTCTCCGATAACAATTTTTCATTAGTAACTACTTATGTACCATTTTAAGTAGTATAATGTAATTTAGCCGAAATATAAACAACCACTTTTTCTTGAGTAAAAGTTTTCAATATTTTTAACAAGTTTTCTATGTTATTTTTAATCTGCAAATTGATAAAAAACTAAATTAGGAAGAATTGAAAAATGTTTATCAGATGTATGGAGCTGAAACGTGGAGAACTACTACAACCATCGTCAAGAAGGTACAAGTATTTGTACACAGTTGTCTAAGCAAAATACTCAACATTCAGTAACTGGATACTATCAGAAACAGGCTACTGTGGGAGAGGACAAACCAGCTTCTAGATGAAGAGAAAATTAGGAAAAGACGTTGTAAGTGGATAGGACATACATTAAGGAAATCACCAAATTGCATCACGAGGCAATCCCTAACTTGGAATTCGGAAGGGACGCGGAAAAGAGGAAAGACAAAGAATACATTATGCCGGAAAATAGAAGCAGATACAAAATGGATGAATGTTAACTAGAAAGAAGTGGAAAGGACTGCCCAGGACAGGGTTGGACGGAGAATACTGGTGTGCGGCCTATACTCGTCCACAAGGGGTAACAGGCGTAAGTAAACAGTAATAGTTATGAACTCTAAATCGAATAGATTATTATAGCTGAAGTGGGTGATAAACTGTAAAGAAGTATACATTTTATGATGTATTCTGTAAAAATGTACCATTGATAAATGTGATTTGCATAGAACAGAGTTACAGACAATTACTTACCTTCACTAATGTTGATTCGAATTGTAAGAATTAATAGGATACTAATTAGTAAAAACTTGTACATCATTTTATGAGTTACATACTGATGTAGCATTAAACTATTATTTATATATTGAAATTAATGTATCAACATTTAATGTTGACGCATCATCAATTGTACTTTGATAACTGAAAAAAATTAATCCATGATTAAACTCGATAAAAAGAACGTGACACATCTCAGCAACCGTGGTAACAATGTGTCCTGAGTGATCATTATGTGAAGCAAGCTGAAGAACAACACTCATCATGTTAGTATTATCCTTTTTTAATCCACATAAAATCATCCTCAGTGAAAAATTGTACTAATTGATCACATATTATCTTCATGAGTAAATAATTTGTTACAATCATCACCATGGTAACTATTCGAGGTTTTAAAATCGGTAAAAAGTACTACCAGTTTCTAGTGATTACAAAATGGTAAGTAAATTTGTAATAAACTTTGTATTATTTGATGATTTGTAGAAATCTGTTTAGTTTAACAGTCTTTCTTTATTGTAAGAGGATGACGGCTAAAAATGATTTGACAACCAGTAAGTATTGAATAACTGTTTTATATTTCAATTTAATAATTCACTGCCAATTACAAGACCTTATGACAATCCCAATTTACATTCACTTTGAAATAAAATGGTTTACGTTTTCCTATATTGTTAATTGTATTCAATGTTATATGGTTGATTTTAATTGTTATATCCCTATGAGAATTATGGATGGTAACTCCTGAGAACTATTTATGGACCATTACGATACATATTCATGTTCCTCTTATTATAAGCTTTATTTTGACCCATAGACTATTACTGTACGATTTACCGTTCTTGGGTTATGCCCTGTTTATCAACTACTATCTCCCTTATTCACAGCCACATTTGGCTAAATCTTGTACCAATGATATTTTCTGTTTTATGGTACGATGTGGTTTGTTTAGTTTGTATGTAAACCCAGTATGTTTAAAATACGTGATTCATATCGTAGGGGCTGAAATTGGTGTTCTGGACTTTAACAGGCATGGAGAAAGACTGATAAGGACTCTAGACTGCTCGTACGGGTTTTATGCCTCATTGGTACAGTCGATAATTCACTGTTCTCTGATTGTAGGTATCATTACGTTATAGATTAATAGGGGTATAAGGCCACAAGTTATAGCATCAATCCATGGTGAAAACTGAAGCAACGTATATATATTTTTACACTTTTATTTTCTCGTATTCAAAAACCATTGCAACTCATACTGAGTAAATTGTGTAAGAAAGCCTACTGTATCAAATTTTTACTGGGAAGTTCAGTCATTTCATAATATGTCACTGTAATATACTTGATTGTGCTCACCAGACCACATTAATAGTTTTCAGTAAAGAGGATCGATGATAAAACTTAATCAAATATCTTCAGTTATCTACAGATATCATATTTACGTTAACAGGATTGTAGCCTTGATACCTCAAGATTTAATGTTGGATACTGTGTTGAGGTTTTGCGTGTTCATTGTTCCTCACATTTGTAATCTATAGACTGAACGAACCATCCAAATAAACAGCAAAAGTGAATGGCATTTAATGCATAACTAAAGTAATCATAAAAACTCAGTAATAGACCTACTATAGTGTACACCTTATATTACTACCAAACATAACATGTCCTGAGGTTCCTTGTCAAGTCAGTGTTTTAGTGGTCTCTGTAGGTTTCAGGGTTAGTTCTTAGGTTACAGTTCGAACTACCATTAAACTAGATTTCGAACTTTAGCTGTATCACTGTTAGGCAGAAGTCGTTTGTTTGAACAGCTGTATTTCTCAATGTTTGAGTTAACCCACAATGTAACCGTAGGATATGCTTTGACTGATAACCGTCAGCTCACAAACAATTGATATTTAACATTGATCTCTATCAATGATATTCTAGTAACACTTCTCCCATAAATAGTATCATCATTTTCAAGATCAATGTCCAGAAAGTTATCAATCATTATTAATTGTTTATAGTAAGCATCAAAGTTTTTCATTTCCCTATTACAAGGTTTATAATAACTGAGTTGGGATCGTAACCTAACTGGATAGTACTGAAATAATGTCCAATCTTTCTAATAGCATTTGTAACAGTGAAATGGATTCCTGACGTGATTACAAGCTGAGATTGTTGTTTAAGTAAGCAGATGTAATTTTCAGAAGGAAATATAATACGAAATTTTTAGAAAAAATTCTTTGCAAGTGTGATGTGATTGAGCTAATCAACTTCAGTTTGTAAGTGTAAATGTAAAGGTCTGTTTTAGAAAAACTCATTGTTCGTAATGATTTCATGACCTAATGGAATATTGTTTCCAGAATAAATTCGAACATTTGCCCACCGTGATAATTTACATTTCAAATTGATTTCCCCTGTGTATTAGTGGATAATAATGTGAAAAATCGTTACTATAATATTATTCTAGTCTAGCGAAACTATTTTCGTCATGTTTCTTGTTGAAGTAAGTTGTAGCAAATAATTTCAGTTGATGATGGCTAACAGTGGAATACAGGACGCGTGTTTCGCCCTATTCGGGACACGTCAGCTGGATGTACCTGCATCTCAGAGTTGATGTTCACTCTAGGACTCGAAGCCAGTACCTTTCGCTTCAAACGCCATCGCGTTTTCCACTCAGCTACTGAGTCCTGATAGCCACTTGCTTGTGCAATGGGGTGAAGTCTAAATTTACTTAGTATTGTTTGTTTGAATCTTCCCACTGATGTTTAGGACTGAAAGTGGTCAGTCTCTTGTTGGCATATGTGCATACTGTGCGTATTGCCTCTATATAGCTTTATTTCACAAGTATTGTAAGCAAAGATGAATCCCAAATAGGACGAAACGCGTGTCCTGGATTCCACTGCCAGCCACTATCCATCTTCGCTTACAATGCTTGTGAATGAAGGCAATATTGAGGCAATACGCACAGTATGCACATATTCCAATTAGAGGCTGACCAGTTGCAGTCCTAAACATCAATGGGAAGATTCAAACAAGTAATACTAAGTGATTTCATCTTTGTTTCATTGTTTCCACCTTAGCATACCCAGTTGACGGTAGTTATATGACGGAGAAAATCAAATCATTTCCAGTGATCTATCTTATGCCATTGTCATTTCCTAATGGAATTCGACCTCGCCTACTAAGTATAGCACAAGTTAGAGTGTTCCGAACATATATCCCTCGTTTCTGTGTCCAGAAGAAATTCGTCATACCCGTGTCCTTTGCTTGACTCGATATGATTCAATAAACGATTTTAACAATTTTTTCACATCCTGTATTTATTTGTGATTTTTCAACTATTGATTATATTCCTGTCTATCTAGTTATTCGCATATTTCTTATAACGTAATTTCAATTGTTCTGTGGTGATTGTTTCAGTGTCTGTTTACTCAGGTTTGATCTAGTACGGAACTCCTCAGCAGTGCGCATCCACGACTCAACACGCGTGGCTCGAATCCAGGACCTTTGGTCTCACGGGAACAATTAACCTCTATACTGCTGAGCAAACACCCAGTTTCTATTGTTTAACCATTCTTACCACTACTAGTACGCTCGTCTTCGCACAATCAATTTGTATTTTTTAGTCATAATGTGGTCATTGAATCATAAACTGTCTTGATTTGTTTAGTATTTTCACATGCCCATATAAATGAAAAGCATCAAAACACTTTGTTGTAGACTAGTCCTATAGTTGAGATAATAATAAACAACAATAATGATAAACAATAAACTTCTGTTTTCTGTAAGTATCCGTGATAGTGTAAACCATTATGTTTGCAGCCAAATGATTTTTATCTTTGATAATGAGAATGAAAAGTTGTTTTATATGATATTTACTGGAAGTTTGACAGCTCTTGACGAAATTCAGGCTTGCAAGCTGATTAAGTAAATTTATTTTCGTATGGGCAATTAGCTGACAGACGACTACTTGAAAGTGACTTGGTAATTTCTTATAACATTAGAAGTGTATATTGACAAGAAGAACATAATTTAGGCTCAATGCACTTTGATGAGTAATTTGCCATAGTAATAATTAACTGTCATATTCTGAAACAAGCATTCACATGTTTACACTGATAACAGGCCACTACTTAATAACTAGATAGTAGATTAATAGATTTGAACAAAAAATCATAATTATTACAAGTTTAGCCTGATATCAGACAGTCTTAACTTTTATAATTTATTGGCTGACCATCATTGCATGATATTTGGGATTCCTGAACCCTCAGTGATCAGAATCTTTTGCGTATAAATAAATAAATTCAAAAATAAGTGATCAGTTAACTTGTTTTCAACAGTGTGTGCTCATATGTTAGTAAATAAACATTTTGTTGCCTATAATAATTTATTAATTGACTGTAAATTGTACATCTTGGTAACCCGCTTATTTAAAATCAAAGTAGTACAAACTGGTTTGATTAGATGTCAAGAGTTGCATTTTACATTTTAATTGTATTATTTTTTTCTAACAATTCTGTCCGACTGTTCTATTCGCATTTTCATATAAAATTGTAACTTCTGGAAAAAAAGTTCTATCAATTCTATTCAACTTTCATACTATACTCCTGACTGTGAATAGATATTGTGATATACATAATGCAATTAAATTTCTTTTCAGTTACGTAGATATGAAAATGAAGTTGTCAGTTTTCATGATAAGAGAAGAACTAAGAGTGTCATTAAAAGTAAACTGGGAAAAAACTGATAACCTTCGATTGAATATGTCACACACAATTGTAATAGTGATTACTGAACCTGAAACCTAATAAAATGTTTAATACACAAGAAGAAAACTGATTACCATTTTAGTGTTTTCATGAATTATTTTAATATATCGTTTGAACATGTAATGAATTTTGTATGTATGTAAACGTATGAATAAATCATTAATATAAGATTTTTGTAGTGCCGTGCTTCGATCATAGTTCGCTTCGATAACCGTTATTAATACCAATCTTAACGGTGTATAATATCAGAAGGCAAAGGGAAGCGGCAACTACATTTTTATTGATAATCGATGCAGACCAGAAAGTTGTAAGCACATGAGCAACTGTAAGCAAGCGAAGCAAAGATGATGCGTATTGGAGATGGCTGGGAAGCCAACTCATTTTAAGCAAGCGTTAACTAACATTTATAGGCAGACAAAAATGAGTGACAGACATATGATGAATAAGATACGAAGTGTACACATATGCGCTCATATAAAAAGTACTCAAGGTTAATAAGCAAATGATTAACAAGATCAAAAGATGACTCAATGTACAGGTGAATTGGCTTGGCCAGTAACTAGAATAAAGTATATGGGCCTAACATATGAACTGGTACTACAAGATCATATATAGGGTGTATATTATTGATGCTATATATCAAAGATTAGTTTTCCATGATGGTCTAGCTTAAATCGACTCATGAATTCAATTGTTAAATTACTAGAATACTCACAAACCCCAATGCTGAATAACAGTTAATACTTTTGTAAGCAAAGATGGATAGTGGCTAACAGTGGAATCGAGGACACGAGTTTCATCCTATTTGGAACTCGTCAGCTGGATGCCATGCATCAATGGGAACATCAATGGGAAGATTCAAACAAACAATATCAAATGAGTTTATGTTTTTGTAGATGAATAATAATTTTAAGGGAAAGAATCAAACAATGTTTGTGTATAACTGATATTCACAAATAGTAATTCTCAATGCAATGGATGTATTTTGTTTTATTTTCAAAAAAATATTTCAACATTAAACGAAATATTGTATTCATGAGTATAGTAGTCCATAATTTAATAAGTAGTTGCTGAATAATTTCGTGAATTCTTTAACACTGTCCAATCTATGTAGTGGACTAGTACATAATTATGACAAGTAAACTTATTTAAGAATGTAATAGTGTAAATCAGTTATTGTGCTTGGGAAGTGTATTTTTAGATCTATTTTACATAATGTCATTAACAGATGCTTTGTATGCATGTGGTAAGACTAAGTCATTACCTTAATTTTTCAATTTAATTTGATAATGAAATGGCAAATTAACGCCAACTAATTCATTACTGTCTACTTTATGCTATACAGTTTAACGTAAAGTAACGTAATCAACTTATTAGTAACATGTGTTGTACATGGTAATTTTTTATTAATCACGTCAGAAGTTTATTTATTATTTATTTGAAGGCGTAAACATAAGTACAAGGTGGCACCAAATAGATATGCATCACATAAATCGTTCGATTAGTGTGAGAGGTGGGATACTTCCCGGGTGCCCAGATCGAAACAGGTGGTTTTCTAAAGGGGTCACACCCCGAGCCTTTGACCTAGAGATCTAATCCACAAGGCAGTGAATCAATATAAGGAGATGCAATCAGGAATCAGGGTTTTTCAACTCCGCTAGGTGGATACGGAGGATCCACCAACCTGGTTAAGGCATAGGACATTCACTTTTCGTCCTCTCAATTTCGAGGGTGTCCCAGCCGTGAGAAGGCAGTGAATAGGACTTCCCTGGCAGTGGTTGTATGCACGTGACCACGTGAGAGCATTTCGATAGGGAGTGCGGACTCTTCCCATCCTCGGTCGTAACAGGTCATTTGGGGGCGAATGTTTTTAATGGTTTGATTTGCTTTTTAAACATATTGGAGGGACACTAACAAATCCTACGTATATATTCATAATATGCTAATATTTTAATACCAAAGTTGAAAGAGCTAAATGCTTCAATTACAACTATCTTCGACAAGTAATTAAAGTATAGATAGTATATAGCGCTAACAAATACGTTTAGGACTGACATGCTCAATTTTTGTTGGTCGGTTAGACTGCTAAATGCAAATGAAGTTAACAGTATCAATTGATATTGAACTATACTGAAATTGAATTTCGATATAACAATTAAAAGCCTATATCTATCATATTAAAAATGGACAGGGTTAATAAGTAAATAATTAACACGGTGAAAACATGACTCAAGATGGGTAGGTAAATTGGCTTGTCCAGAAGCTAGAAAAGGGTATATGGGCTTAACATATCAACCGACACTACAAGTGTACAAACCAATATTTAAATGAGTCTATTTTCGACTAGAGTCGTCGTTGTTGTGTTTTGAAGCTAATAAATCTTCATTTTTATCAGTCTTGGTGTTCTTATTTCGCGTCAAATTGCAATGTTTCCTTGTTTTTTTTCAGGTATAAGTAATGGACGACGTGCACATAACAGATTGAAAATTAGTTGAGGAGAAATTCATATTCATTCAGAATGATCATTAGTTTGCGAAGCAGTTTCTACAATGTGTCAAAATATGCTTTAAAATAATACTCTTCATATTGGTTTTGAATAATCTGTCTGATAGAAAGTTTCATTTTATTTGTAAAAGATGCTTTGCGACAAAATGTTTAATAGTAAGCAAAGATGGATAGTGGCTAGCAGTGGAATCCACGACGCGCGTTTCGTCCTATTTAGGACTCGTCAGCTGGGTGAACATGCAGCTCAGAGTTGATGTTCACTCTGGAACTCAAACCCAGTAACTTTCGCTTCAAACGCCAACGCGTTATCCACTCGGCCACCGAGTGTATGAACGTGTGCTCTTAAGGTAACTGATTCTCCCTGACGGACTCAATCCTGTGTCACCCAGCTTCACAGTGAGAGACGTTACCAGCGAGCTATCCAGGCCACGACCGACTTCAATATAGTGCACACAATGTGTCGTCACTTAAATTAGTGGCCACATTGCAACCTGATCAATAGAATTCGATCTGCACTAAGAAGGACTTGACATACATTACATTAATCACTACACAGCGATCAATCAATTGTAGATACACCTCAGTTCTGCAGTAGGTGAGTCGCACTTGATCGTTCAGCGGCAAAGCCTCTGACTGTGAAGCTGGGTGACACGGGAGCTTCAATCCTCTCAACATTGTAGGTACACCTTGCTGACGAGTGCCAAGTAGCTCGAAACCTAGGTTCAGGGTTTCCTGTTGACTTCCTTCAACTACCATCTTGTAATAATTATTAAAACATCTGAGTAATATCATTAAACAATTCAATATTTATTACCAGAAGGGGTTTTGTGGAGATTTAGTATTTTTCATAGTTGAAAGCGTGAGTCAATCGAAGCTAGACCACCATGGAAAACCTGGAAATCTGGACGGCCGTTTCGTCCTATTATGGGACCCCTCAGCAGTGCGCATCCACGAACACTGGCTAGAGACTGGTAGGTCCTGGGTTCGAATCTCGCGAGAGCGGGTTCGTGGATGGGCATTGCTGAGGAGTCCCATAATAGGACGAAACGGCCGTCCAGTGTTCCCAGGTTTTCCATGGTGGTCTAGCTTCAATTGACTCACGCTTTCAACTATGAAAAATTCAATATTTACCACTTATTAATATCAGAACAAACATTTTAATTCCATAGAAACACATTGATTTTGATTAATTCAATTATTTGCATACAATTTCATTATTATGTTACATAATATTTTAAACTGATCAAAGACGTCATATTTATTGACTATTTGATATAACTACACGTTCACTATCTAATCCCATAATGTAATCAGTTTTAATTATCTAAACAAATCGCATATATATATATTAACTGTGAATTCTATTTTATAATGATTACATCAGTAGTCGAATTCAAAATGCTTCTAATTTTATTCAAGATGAACCCATTATCATTCAATGTTGGAGCCGTTTTAAATAAAAGTTTATTCAGATCTATCCACCTTAAGATTAAATGAAAGATAATTCATGCAAAAAAGAAATTGTGATAATATTTAAGAGGTAATTAGTTAACAATGATTTATTCTAAATTCACTTAGTATTACTTGTTTGAATCTTCCCATTGATGTTTAGGACTGAAACTGGTCAGTCTCTTATTGGCATATGTGCATACTGTGAGTATTGCCTCGATATAACGAGATGGCGTTAGAAGCGAAAGGTACTGGGTTCGAGTCCCAGAGTGAACACCAACTCTGAGATGTAAGTGCATCCGCCTGACGAGTCCCAAATAAGACGAAGTGACGCGCGTCCTCGATTCCACTGCTAGCCACTATCCATCTTTGCTTGATTTATTCTATTTATCAAAATACTATGTCACTATAATAATCTTATTCTTTAATGAGTTTTTACGGTTATATAACATCAGAATGAGATTTTTATAGATATTATAGTAATTTTATTAGTTCAGATCATAAGTTAACTGAAGCTAGATCACTATGGGAAACTTGGAACATGTAACAATTCATAACTCCCACTTATCATCATCATCCCTTTCATTACATTGTGTGTGTGTGTGCAATTATTCAAATCAATATCAAACACTTTGAATGTACCAGAAAGATTTGAATACAAAACAAAAATTTAGTCAAATGTTTGTATTTCAATATTAATTTCATTAATTTTATTCACATTAATATCTATTTCGATGGTTTGTTGTTTTACCAATTCCTTTATCTTTACATTTAAACAAAACACATCTACCATTACAACATTCTTTACTTTTTAAACATTTATCTCCAGTGTTTAAACATTTAACACATCTTCCTGACAAACCCTTTAATTGACAAACATTCCTACCACAACAACGATCGAATAATGTTTTATGACATGTTTCACCAAGTTGTCTACATTGAAATAAACCTGAAATAAGAAAATTAAGAATAAAAGTGTTACTATGTTGGGTTTAATGTTTCATGTTTATATATTTATCAATCTCACCTAGCATAATCGGTAAAAGTAGAAGTTGATAGTGGGAAGACAGGTATGCTGATAGTAGCAAGAATATTAAATTATGATAACAAAAGTCTTATCATTAGTTAAACATTGGAAATAGGAGGTCAAACGTGGGTAAATAAACTAGAATGGTAATCACAAAACGTTAAAATCATTACATAATGAGAAGTAGGTAAATAATTAGATAGTGAGGAATATAAACGGAAGGAGGCGGAAAATTACAAAGTAATGATAACAAAATTTGTTAAGTTATGTTCGGCCATGGAAGGGATAGGGGGGTTACGAATTTCTTCTGTACGCATAAATTGGGATGAAATGTATAAATTCCTATGGCTTCAGCTATATGAAGGAGACGGGAGTGAACTCCGTTGGGAAATGATGGAGGTGTACGATAGATCACTTGAAATGATTTCGATTTATCTACATTATGACCACTATCAATTAGATGTGCCAAGATATAACTGCATATTGTTTTTATCTGGCCCTTCCCAAACCATGCTAGTAGATGTTTACTCATTCGTTGGTTAAGTAGCCTAGTAGTACGCCCAATATAGCTATCTCCACAGGAGTAACTGAACTTGTATATGCACATAGAGGAGGCCAACTCAGGTAACTTTTCCGTCGTTTGAGTAGACATCCCTGGTCGACTCAAGAAGGTCAACGTAAGATTGGGCTGCGTAGAATGTCCTACTAATTACTTTCGTTAACTTATCTTTCAGAGTATTACTAGACATATCCCAGCTGAATTGTAGTTTCATGTATAAAGGTTTCTTTCGAACAGTTGAAATCTCAGACTTCTTTCTTATATCATACATGAACTTTTTAATGAATACACTAGGATAGCCGATCTCTATCAGTGAGTTATTGATAAATTCATAGCTGGATCATATTTAATTATCACTGGATTTTAAAACATTCAAATATTTCTCCTTTTTACAAAAAATTATAAATGACTTGTTTATCTTATGATTATGAAATTATAGATCTTTAGAAAAACATCCTTATTACTTATATTAAAATTGACTACTTCTTTTATACTAACGTAATATAGACCTTAACTTTGATGATAAACACTGGAATCCCTTTTTATTATACCTTGTATGTTAATTGATATACATTATTCTATGTAGAATGAAAATGATGTATCTGCCGAAAAGTAGGGGAGTAGCTCATTGTATGCAAACTATGCCAATTATAACTATATGACCATAAGTTTAATTATTATCGACTTATCTCTTCCTACTGAACTCGTTTGAGTGGATTTACCTAAACATTATCCAATAATCTTCATGGGGAATAACTTGCTTTTATTCTATTAGGAATTGTAATTAAAATTTATTATTTATTTTAAAAGTTTGAAAATCCTTAAATTGCTTAAACAAGATGGTTTGAGGATCTAATTGGAAGCAGCATTGTTCTATTAAATATGTTATACTGTTTAACCTTATGAAAGAATACTTCATTAGGATTTAATGATTAAGAGAAACGGTACTATATTCACCTAGTAACTAAATATTTAGAAGAAAGACCTTACTTATGTGGTCTGTTGAAATATTTACCCTACGTAGTTTCTAATTTTATAAATGTTTTATTTAAGTATCATTATAATTGTGCTTACTCGATTCATTATTCATTTCTAATCAAGGAATATAATGACGAATTTCTTTTGAATGTTCACAAAAGTTTATGTATAGTCGTCATAAGTTTTAGAAGTGAAATTTTGTTGGAATAAGAGATGATTACAATAAACTTTCCATGTCAAATATTTATAATGCGTTATAGATGAATATGTTATATCCCGTAGAGATTGATGAGTGATAACTTTGAGAACTATTTATGAACCAATGTGATATGCATATTTCCTATTGTATAGTTGTTAATCCGTTTAACTATTCATATTCATGTTCCTTTTATTATGAGCTTCATTTTGACTCATAGACCATTACTGTACGATTTACCATTCCTGAATTATCCCCAGTCTATTAATTACTGTTCCCCCTATTCACAGCCACATTTGACGAAATATTGTATAAATATTCTTTTCTATTTTATGATACGACATGGTCAGTTTGTTTGTTATATAAACCCAGTATGTTTGAGAATAATGATTCATATTGTACAGGCTGTTATTGGTGTTCTAGACTTAACTAGCTGGGCTAGGTAGATAGCAGGATTGAGAAGTATTCAAGACTGCTCATACGGCTCTTATGTATCATTGCTCCGATCAATAAAGTCACTGATCTCTAATAGATGTGCACACGATATAACAGAATTTTATATATGCAAACGTTTTAGTCATTTTTCAACGATGAAAATGTATATGTCAATGGATGAAGAGTGATTTATGTGAATGAATATAACACATTCACTTGCTTGCCGTATTGAGAAACTTTGTATATACAATTATTCCTATTAACGTAACACTCAGTTTTGAATAATGGGAGTCCTATTATTAACAGTTGTAGTTATATTAAATTTAATAATTAAATAGGATAGTAGAGAATGATATTTTGTTACTTGCCCCTTTTAATTACACCGAATTCCAATATACATTTTATCTTGTAGAATAAAGTTTGAATACACTTACTACAATGACTTTAGTGACAGTTAATAGAATCATGATTAAATCATCTATCTCAGCTTATAATGCTTGTGATTCAAGGCAGTGTCATGGAAATTCTCACAGGTTGCACATATATCAATAAGAGAATGATCAAATACAGTCTTAAACATCAATGAGGAGATTTAAACAACGAATATAAAAATGAATTAAATCATAAATAATTATGTAATCCGGTAATTTAACATACAATATGAAAATGTGTATTTACTATAAGTTAGAATATATTGTAAATATCTGGATTAATATTCTTAGTTGTTCTAAGTTGATCATTCATGATAAATTATAAAATTATGTATACTTATATTAAATCTCATATAGTTGAGATCATGAGTCAATTGAAGCTAGAACACCATCGAATACCTGGAGCCTTTGGACGGCCGTTTCGTCCTATTTTGGTACTCCTTAGCAGTACGCATCCACAATCCCGCCTCACGACATTCGAACCCTAGATCGAACCTATCAGTCTAGCTCGCGAACGCTTAACTTCAACCGATCCACGAAGTTGAGCAACCGTTCACCAATGTCTTTAGTGAGTTTATATCTCCCGACAGACCTGGTTGAACTCCACTGGTTACTGCTTCTCACTAGAACTTCAAGAAATACCTCATGAAGCCAGTCACTAGTGAGCATATGATCATTATCAAAAGGGGGTTTTGTGGAGATTTTAATAATTTCATATAGTCCACTGCCTCCAGGTTTTTCATGGTGGTCTAGCTTCAATTGAATCATGATCTCAACTATATAAAATTACTAAAATCTCCACAAAATCCCCTTCTTATACTAAATCTATTAAATAGACTTATAAATAATGACTTACTTTCACTGATGTTAATATGACTTAATAATGTAAAAAGAATACTAATGAATACTAATGGATACATTATTTACTGAATTTTTTTCTTTAACGTTAATCTATGAAACGTTTGTTTATATACTGGAATGAATGGAAAGGTGAATGGATGAATTAAATTTTATCACTATCTAGTTGATAGTTGATCATTTCATCTTATCAAGGAAAAGTTTTTCTTCACTGTTTTGTTTTTTTTGTTTTTTTCAATGATTCATTTCATAGACCATTAGCAACAATAAAATGAGACATGTTGATTATAATTGTCTTATAAACTAATCTACATAGTTCATTCAGAGTTTAATTTAAAGAAGAAAAAGAAAAAAAAAAGAAAAGAAAGAAAATAAATACACATCACTATGAGTTCGTTCATGTTATATTTAATCACCATGATAACATGACAGGTATGACCTTAATTTAATTACTTCGAATGAATCAGATATTTATTTATTATTACACTTATTTATTTTATTTCTTCTATAATCATCATATAATGAGAACTTTCTATTGTTTATTATTAATAAATGAATGTTTGTTTAAATTGATGATTTATTTATTTGATACAATTTTGAATTGTTTAATAAAACAATATTGGTGATGCATATTATTTAAAGTTTAATTTTAATGAAGTTTTTTTAAATCTTCCAAACTATTCTCTGGGTTCGAATCTCGTGAGTCGGGATCGTGGATGCGAACTGCTGAAGAGTTCCACAATAGGACGAAACGGCTGTCCAGTGCTTCCAGGTTTTCGATGGTGTTCTAGCTTCAATTGACTCATGATTTTAACTATATAATATTCTCTGTCAATTCGTTTAGCTGTTGTATATGTATATTTCAAAAGAATTATTTGGGCGAATATATAAGTAGAAATAAAGTTATTAGAATTCACTTGATATTGTTTGTTTGAATCTTCCAATTGGTGTTTAGGACTGAAACTGGTCAGTCTCTTATCGGCATATGTGCATGCTGTGTGTATTGCGTCGATACAGCCTTAATGCACAAGAATTATAAGCGACGATGAACAGTGGTTAGCAGTGGAATCCACACTCATGGATATTCACTGATCAATTGCAGTGCTAAGAATCAATGGGAAGATTCAAATAAGCAATACTAAGTGAATTCAAACTTCACCCCATTGCACAAGCAAGTGGCTATCAAGACTCAGTAGCTGAGTGGATAACGTGATGGTGTTTGAAGCGAAAGTTACTGGGTTTGAGTTCCAGAGTGAACATCAACTCTGAGATGCATGTACATCCAACTGACAAGTCCCAAATAGGACGAAACGCGCGTCGTGGATTCCACTGCTAGCCACTATCCATCTTTGCTTACAAGGGTGATCTAAACTTAAATATCATCATCTAATTACTGAGGTGATAATGTTCAGCTTTATTTAATCTTAATATAAGTAAATAAGTAGTTTAAAAATTAAAATAGTTCAATGGCATTATGTTTAAAAATATCACCATAATGAAGTATTAGAATAATCTATTGTGTGATTACATTGGTTTCAAATAATAGTAAATTCAATGAAAATTCATTATTGAACTGAATATATAAAGTTTCGATGGCTTCATTTTATATATTTAAGTCAAGATTTCATATATGTGGACCCAATATAATCTAACATCTAACAACTATAGTAACATGAATGCAATTTAAGGAATTTAGAAATATGCATTAGTGATGGATATTCTGCATTTTCATACATGTTAGTGAGGAGATACAATTGGGTTACATAATAGTAATAACATAATGAAATAATAAATAACAGGACATGAATAGAATCGAATAAAAACAATTATTCAGATCCTGATCTTTTAAACTATTCAACAGTAGATCGGTTAAGTGCTCTGGAGCGAGACTGGTAGGTCCTGGGTTCGAATCCCGTGAGGCGGATTCGTGGGTGCGCACTGCTGAGGTGTTCCACAATAGGACGAAACGGCCATTCAGTGTTTCCAGATTTTCTATGGTAGTCAAGCTTCAATTGATTCATGATCTTAACTATATAAAATTGCTAAAATCTTCACAAAACCCTTTTGTGGTAACAGTAGATCCGTTGATTTATATCTAGTCAACATAGCAACATTATTAGATACAATGTACAATTTAACTCATCCCAGTAAACTCAACCAATATCATTCAAGAGTATAATCATTCACAGATGGATTATTACTACTATCAATCATATTTACATCATGTGAATGTTGATAAAATCAACTAAAAGTTAATATCAAAGATTAATAATAATCATACATGTTGAACTAAACTCTTAATTGTCAGAAGGGGTTTTTTGTGGAGATTTTAGTAAGTTATAGAGTTGAGATCGTGAGTCAATTGAAGCTAGACCACCATGGAAAACCTGGAAGCACTGGACGGCCATTTCGTCCTATTATGGGACTCCTCAGCAGTGCGCATCCACGAACCCACTCTCGCGGGATTCGAACCCAGGACCTACCAGTTTCGAGCCGAAGCCCTTAACCGATAGACCACTGAGCTGGCATACAACGGTGTTAATGTCTAACTTCAACTCTTAATTATTGTAAACAGTTTGTCAAACCAGCTAGTCCACATTGAGATTAAGGCAAAGTATAATAATTGCCGCGAACTGTATAATAAAAGAACCAGTAAAATTGGCTGCAGTAATCTCAAATGTCACTGAAACTTCAGCTGTTCAGTGGTATGAGTATTGTAGGGACACATCCATAATAAAAATGATAAATTTACACAACCGCAGTACACAAACAATATTGAAGCTATGTGGTCTAGGCCGAAAGGGTTTTTGTGACCTTATCATGGCTCCAGAGACTGAGTATTATGGTCCCATACGGATGAGTTCCTTTACCTTATGCATTACTATTTTAGAACCTTTGAACCTCTTTCTAACCCTGACAAGTTTTTGGATCATATAAAAAAGTGTATCCACTCTTATTCTTTGGTTTTGTATAATATATTTTTTACTCTATTCTGACTGTTTACTGATTGGCTAACATTTCTCAAGGTCATTTAAGATTCGTTCAAAGGTCGTCCATAAATTATGGTCTCGTAGAATAAATTCAGAGGCTACTTTTGCTTTACTTCAAATATATCATAACTTTGTATGCTTTCAAAGTTTTTAGGGTGATTGAATATCTGTTAAGATAAATGGGATAAATGACAAAGTTAATATTTTGAGTGAACAAGTAAGTAAACAGATTAAATTTTTTCTAATACAAATAAGCTGAAAAAATAAACTGATCCCGTTTTCTGTAATGTTGAATTATTAATATATTTCCTATGACTTACTGATATAATCATATTGAAGATACCACCAGTATTGTAGTTTGACAACACATTACGAGTAACACCTTCTATAATCGAATCGCGCCCACCCAGTGAAATCAAAAGTCAGAAGCGAGGAGGTTGGAAGATATATTTGATGGGTTATCAATATATTGTGAAGTGACTGATCTAATCTGGCTAATGATCGTAGGAGATGTTTTGCATGCCGTTCTGAAACGTAATCTGGTACGGATGCATGACCGATCGCCTTCGGCTAAATGAATTCACTAAATCTAATGTGGTCAGCATCCAATGTCGAACACCTACACAGCTATTGATTTTAGGGATTTATTTACAGCTACAATACCATCAAAGATTATTATAATTGAAAATATCGCTGGAATAAATTTTAAAAGAGTTAAAAATAGTGCTTTTATTTCACTATGCTCCTGTTATTCAAGTTATCAAAAAACTAACGTTGTTACTGTCATTATAATTATTAAAATTTCTTATTTATTGTATCTAATTACGTTATGACTAAAAAAATTAAAAGGATTTTTTCGGCTTAGTGATTAGTTACAGTTAACCATTTTTTCATTGTATGTATTTCAAGGCCATGCAAAAAATATTTTGTTACTATGATGATATTTTCTTGAGACCGTTAAAAGTTTTTGCACTAAACTTGTTCTACATAATTTCCATGAGTTTGTGGTGACCTACTTTTACGATGAGAACGTGATCGGTGTAATGGGAACAATTATTACTATAACCAATTGTACCGGTGATTGTTTTATTGTACTTGTTTGTTTAACTGTAACAAAAACACTTTTCGTTCTGTTGTCCATCTTGTTTGTACGAACGCTCTTACTCTCTGCCATTTTGCATATAATCTTTGGCACGTCTCGGTATTCTTTCGATACCACGAGATGGCCAATAAATATATCTTATCTGGACCAATAACAGCCTTCTAGTTTTCGATCTATCGACGGATCCAAGTCGTTATCTGGCACGTAATCTTATTGTAGTGGTGATCATAGCCAATCGCCACTCAACATCTATCTACAAGTCTTTCAGCACCATCGAAGTACCATGATAACATAGTTTATTGATTAGGAACAGATTTAAATCCCTGCTCATACTGACATAAACATACCGTACGTATAATCTACAGTGTAGATTACAAAAAATTGAATAGCTGATAAGTATAATACTATGGCGAATCTGTCGAGTGTGATTTCTCGGGGTCGTATACCACTTATTCAATTTGTTAATATTATTTTTCCGATTGATTAAGATAAAAAAATAAGCTATGTATTCAGTTTAGGTCATTCTTATCAAGTTTTGAGTACAAAACTTACATATGGACGTGAACTACGAGGTGTCATAAACTGGAGTATACTCTGGATTTAATCATATAACTAATACCCAGATAATTACGCGGAATGTTCATTAGTATAATTCGATTAAAGTAACAACCAATATCGATTATTTCCAATTTTGGTTATTCCCTTTTATTAACTTACTTAACAGACAACTTTATTCGAAAAGTAACAATTTGCATGTTTCTTTGTACTATTATGATCACTATCATATCTGTGTAAAAAGTGTATGCTTGATCACAGGACAGCCTAGGCACATTTCTCTCTAGCTTAAATGTTGATGGCTTGAATATCACTCGATGAATCATTCTCTTCTCCATGTACATGTATACGCAAATCTTATTGTTAGCTTTTGCTTTTCCTTACTGCGCCTTCATACAGCTTGTTGGATCCATTT